AGTGTATCTGGCTTTTTTTGTAAAAGAGTTTAGTTCAACTACAAAATTTATTTTTTATTTTTTAATCCAAATGATTTATCTAAATTCCATTCTCATTTCTTTAATTTTTAGTAAGGTACAGGTCCAAAAGTAACATTGGATTTAGTCAGTAAACCCATCACTTCTTCAGGTCTCCAGTTGAAGCAAGAACTACAGTCATGTTGACTAGGGTTATTCCACTGCTCTTGTGTTAGGCATCCCATCAGTTTGCCTCTGGGACAAACTGCCTGCACATTACTGCTCCTAAGAGCATGACAGACACTTCAATTGTGCCCTGAATTCCCAGCAACATAGCAGGGGGAAGATATGCCAGAGCTAACGAGTCTGGTTTTGGCTTGAGGTTAGAACAAATTCTTCTACATTACACACTAAATATATTAGCTTCAGAAATGAGCTGTGATTCATTTCAAGGCTAGATTTGTGCTGGAGCTCCAAGAAGGCAGGATTTTATTCAATGTACTTCTGAGCAGCTCTACAAGGTGTCTGCCCTTTGCACTGCCCTTTAAGTCATCTGAAGGGATCTCTCCCTGGGGAGTTATAGGTTTATTCGTCTTAGCCTGAAATTTGGAAAAGAAGAACATTTCAGCTCAGTACTCTAGCACATCTCTCAAACCTACTATGCCTTGCTGAAACCTATAGGTGTTCAGCTATCACATTTATTCTAGTTTCTGAATGTCAGTAGCAGTTATACAGTTACTACTGCCCTTTCATCCTGCATTGGTCAGGAGTTGAAGACTACAAGTATCCTGATGTTTGTAGCTGTGTGTCATGTCTCACTTCAGATAGACACAATAGTTTGAGTCACACATCTGCACAATAAAAGCCACAGCCTGAGCAGTTGATAGTTTTTGTGCTACTGAAATGGAGAGAAGCAGTATGGTTTCTATACCTTTGGGCACAGACAGGCATTGGCCCAGTGTGCCCATAATTTCTGTCATTCAGGTAGAGACCTGAGGATTCCCTGGCAGATGAGAAATACACTCCAGTTATTTTATCTTTCTTACATTGTCTTTGTGCCATTGTGGGAAAGGGAAAACGTGCACATACTTTTCTGTAGTGTAGCTTGTACTTCTGCAGCCTGCATACCCATCTTTCCCCTTGTACAATCTCAAAATTAGAGACTGGGGGGAAAGAAATTGTTCAAACAAGAATCATGTGGTATAGAGGGAATTTTCTTTAACAATCCAGAAGACAAGAGCATGATTGCTTAGAAAAACTAAAAAGCCTCCATAAATAAAAAAGGGGAAAAAAGGGCCACTTAAATTTAAAAATAAATATAAAATTAAAATGATGAGGTAAGAAAATGCTTTATACTTTACCTATGTTGCTTTTCATAGTATATTTTTTCTTTTGTAACTTAGTCTTTTCAATATTCTTTGAAAATTCAGGAATATTAGATGTCACATAAAGTTATAATTGCAATTTATGAATAAAGGAATGCTCTAAGGTAAAAACAAAACTTGAAAAAGGAAGACAAGCTCTAGCATATGAAAGAAAACCATTTCTTTCCTGGGAGACAGGCCACAGAAATAAATATGTATCTAGATGACATTTCTTTGTATCTTATTCAAGCAGAATAAAACTAAAATTATCCCAGATGCCTATAGGCTGTCCTGGTGTAAGGCACAGAACTGTAGAAGGGATTATTTCATATGTGCATTTTCATTTGTTCCCTCTCTAAGATAAAAAAGCAGCTCATTCTAGCTGCTGAGAAATCATTTGGTAAAATAAATCCTTTAAAAATAGGAGACATTTCCACTTAAATATTTTTCAGACACTTCATGATCTAAAGAAGTACTTTTGCCTGGGGCAAATCCAGCTGCTTAGACCGACCTTGGAGAAAACATTACATGAGCCAGCTAAAAATAAAGATCTCATTTGGGAAAAAAGGCTATACACGATTTTTTCTTTTAGACTTTTCCATGATGGAGCAACAGTATCAATACTGAAGGGAAGTATCTAGTACTAGAAGAAATCACTACTTTAAACGAGAGACAAAACTCATCATCTGTCTCTTGTCGGTCTTTGCAACACAGTGGTAAAAAGAGCAAAAAGAAAAGATGAGTGATTTATCCTAATTTACTTTGTGACACATGCAGGAACAAGGCTTGCAAGATCAGACACAGTTTACAGAAACCATGAGACAAATGTGCCTTGTAAATTCATAACGTACAATGTCCTACACAGCTTGGCACTCTGTGGAAAAACCAGCAATGATCACCACTTCAAAAAGAAACATCTGGAAGCATGGCTACTCCTGTTTTGCTCCTGCAAACACTTTGGTTTTTATAACATAGCCTGGTGGTCAGATCATTCACTCAGGACATGAGAGGGCTGTGTTTTCTGTTTTGAATACAAATGTCTTCCACTTCCCCAGACAAGGCATTAACCACTAGGGTTAGTGCTTTGATCCCTCTGTTTACATTGCCTCAGTGTGCACCAAAAAATCCAAGGCAGACAGCCAGAGCAGAGTATGACACTGTGGCCTAGAAATTAGAGATGCTTGGATGGATTTGGGCTCTCAGGGTTATGTCAGTTCTTACCTCAGGAAATTTGATGTGAAGCCTGGGAAAATGCCAAATGCACCCATCCTCCTTTTTTCTTCTATAATTTTACATAGAACTGGATGCCTTTTCTTAGCCAGAGAGCCTGGAATTTGAATGTTTCTGCTCATCCTCTCCTAAGTTTTGGAAATTGGTCAGAGTTCACTCTCATATAAACTAGTTGGGTTTTTTTTGTTTGTTTGTTTAGTTTTTTTAACCTAGTTACCCTTCTTCCCAGCATGTAGATATTTTTTGTAATACTTCCAAGTAGTTTATTTCCTTTCCTGTCCTTCCTGTACAGAGAAACTGGCTACGGACAGGTCAATTCCTGCTCTCAAAAATCTAGGGTCTTGGAACTTAGGTCACATATCTGCTTTGGATCTGTCCCAAAATAATCTCAGGGAACTGCTGCCTTGTTCTTGAAAACCTAACTGGTTATTCTGCTATCACACATGTAAGCACATCCAGAGCTCCCACACGCTGCAAAATTTTCTGCCTCAGGCCATCACCTTTTCCCACAGTCTGTTTTTGATGTCTGAAGTTACAGGTAAAATCGAATTAGACAAGGCAATATGGGAACAGCTTTATTACTTGTAACTTTCTTATGAAATCAAATTTGATATTTGTGAATAAAGAATTTGAAACTGTATTTTCTTCAGCTCTTCTTTTGTGAGAAGTGCCTCTCTTTACCATGTGAATGTGCAGCTGGGAATTTACTCCCACTGAACTCAATGATTAAAAACAAGACTTCAGTGAAAAATGTTCTGCTGAAAATACAGTAGAACATCTACAGTGTTATTCAACTAATAAATGTTGGTTCCCTGTGGTGCAGTTTGTGGGAACTGTGGGCTCCTGCAAGGTTTCTGTAAAGCAAACCAGATGCCTGTTTGCTCCAGAAAGCTTAGTTTTTGTCTGACCTGTCCTCACAGCAGCTGAAAGAAAGGAAAAAAGCAGCTGAGTTTTATGAAGCTGTTAAAGCAAAAATTTCATAATTTACATAATGTACATTTTTTTTTTAATGATACATTTTGCTTGTTCAGTCAAACACAATAATTCTTCCTCTTTGAAGCATAACTGTATTTAGTGAGAATACCTGCCATCTGCATGCACTCTGATGCAACTGCCTCCTGTTAACCTTTTCTTTAGTCACATTAATTATACAGGTGACAGAGGTTATGGGTAGGATCATCTGCTCAGGTGGACTGTGGAGTTTTGCTCAAATCCTGGATATATTACACTGCCCTAAATTCCTTAACATTTGTGTCATATAATGATGATTTTAGTCAAGATAATTTCTGCTGCCAGATTCAGGTGTTGTCCTCATACTGAAAGGCTGCTTCATAATGTTACCATCTGTCCATTGTAATAATAAATCTGGCTTTTATACTCACCCTGAAATATTCTATAAAAGCACACCATGCAACAAACAGCTTTGACATACTGACTGATAGATGATTACCTCCCCTTCCCTTAGGTGCTGCTTTGTCCCAGTAAAAGAAGAAAAAAACCACCAAAAATACCTTAATAAAATTATGTGTGTCATGTTTCTAATCTATGATATGTTTCAAATAATCCAGTATGCTCATTCTATATGAAAAATTATTTTATTTTGAAATATTTTACTTATCATCCCTAAAACTGTAAAACTAGATCTTTAAATGAATACTTCTTAATCTGTCTTGCTCCTGTCATTAATCTGCACAAATTTAGGATTGCTGGAAGCTTTCAAAGAATGCTTTACTTTATTTTATTTTTGTTCTTTGCATCATTATGAAGATTTTCTGCTGCAACTCTCTTTCAAAATCCTCTCATTTTAAGGGAAACAGCAATTCCAAAATACTTCATATCACCAGGAAGATGAGAATATAATGCATCAGACAGAGTAGTTGATTTCTCCTTTTGTGTTTGTGCCTTGAAATGGCATAGCTGCTTTACACTTTCCATCCTCTTTTAAGTAATAAGATAACGAGGTAGATAAGTAAAATATATATCTTAGAATATAATAGTTTTATTTCACATAAAATCCCATAAATCAAAATCCCAAAAATCCCCTTAAATTCTTTAAGTTATTCTTATGTTTCCTTTATGTGCTCCCATAGTATTCACCTTCTGTATGTGTGAACACAGAAAGACTTATGGTGAAACCCTATAAGCAGAAATTTTGTATAAACTGTCACTGGGTACATAAGTTTAATGATAACTTCAGATATATAAAAAACTCTTGATTTTCAGTTCAAATAGATATGAAAGACCCTCTTCCTCTTAAAATCATGCATATTTCACAGATTCTACTGACAAAATAGAAAATTAATTTTGAAAATTTGTTCTTGTACCACTACAAGGGATTTTCCTACCTCCTGTATAGCTGTTGCAATCCCTGCAAAAGTATGTATAGGATAATACATTACGCAAACTTACAGCTTTCCAGCTGCATTATACATGTTTGCACGTCCATTGGAAAATTTTTGAGATCCATCGGACAGGAAAGTATTAAAGTCAATCTGAAAGAACACAAAAAAACCCATTAAAAATACACCCCCCAAAAAAGCCATAGAACTGTGCAGGAGGAATGCATGAATACAATGGAAGCAACTAGAAATAGAATACGTGTTTCAGTAGAAAGCTCTTGAAAAAGATCTCTATTAGCTGAACCCATCTAACTCAGCCTAGTATGACAACATGGAAAAAAAATTTACAGACTTTTAAAAAAATAAATTTTTCAGTAGGGATGCCTAACTTAATAACAAGTCTAAAGGAATGCAGCAACAGTGTGCCCTTTTGTGCTACAACAGATTTGTTGGACTGTTTCAAATCTTTGGCATAAAACTTACCCAAATTTGCAAGAATTTCACAACATATGCCAGCTGGAAATCGTGGAGGAAAAGTAGTTTTATGTGTTACTCTCCTAAAATAAGGTGTTTAAAATGTCAACAGAAAAGTTTAAACATTTTATGATTTTGATGGTAGACCTAAATATGCCTGTAATTTTGAACTGTAGCTGTGCATTGGTGTTAATCCTAATACTTCCTGTGAAATTCTTTGCAAATTATAGGCAAAAGTGGTATTTTTAGATTTTAGATAAATACAATAATTTACCTTTCAAGTAGAACTTCTCCAAGGAATCAGAAAGAAGAATTTATGTAAGATAAAGGCACATGTTTTCCCTCCCTGGCCATGCCTAGGTACCCATTCATTGTTCAGGGCCATGACTCAACCTTCATTAATCAGCTCAGTTGATAGAATGTCCAACAAAAACCTGAGGAGCCTCAGTTCAGCTGCTTACACATAAGGCTCTTCTAGCATGGAAATGCTCTAATCCCCCCTCCCTTGAATCCACTCCTCTGCTTTTGGCACTGGGCCTAAAGAGAAATGGGCAATAGCTGGCAAGTATGGCTGTATATTTCTTTTACTTTTTTTATTTTTCTGACCAAACCTCCTTGATTCATTGTTGCTATAATTTCTGTTTAACCAGACAGCGACAGGTCTGCATTAGAGAGGAGAGTCTGAGGAGGGAAGTCAGACCCATCCCCTATTCCCATGCTGTTAAAAATAGTTCCAAAGGCAAATTTTAGCTAGTAGGCTGGTAACAAAGCAAGTCATTTTGGAGGTACCTGGACTTTGTGCTTCAGTAAATATTTTAGTATTTTATATTAAGTATTCATTGAGCTGGGAACTGCTACCTTCCATTATTTTCTTGCCTCAATTGTTCCAGTGCAATTAGGGATGAGGAGAAATTTTGAAAGAAGGAAATTTAGAAAGAAGGAAATTTAGAAACTTCTGTTTTTAATATCAGCACACTAGCAATTAACATATCTCCCCTTATCAGAAGAAGGTTAACTTACTCAGATGCACATAACTCAACTAGATGCCAATGATATGATTTTAAATCTGTTTTAGAAACTATAATAGTTTAATTAAATCAAGGCAACATAAAATTTCTGGCTTCATAAGAAACTTCATAAGCTTCTGACTTCATAAGAAAGAGGAGCTATCTGGGATTTTCTGTCAGCACAGTTGATGTTTGCCTTTATAAGTAAATGTGATATTTCTCACATTTGGGGTTTTTCAGTCCATTTTATGTGGCCATGGACTTGGTCTGAATTGTATTGAAGGTGCAATCTAAACTTGTTTCCGCTGAGTGGTGGGGTTTATACTGTGTGCTGTATGTGTTTGGAAGGAGTAGGGAGTTATTTGATTAGAGTGGAACAGCAGCCAGTGCCTCTTGGGATGACTCAGACAGTCTGCAGATAATTGATTTAGATCTACTTTCTACTCGAATCCAGAGAAGGAATCCTTTTAACCTGCTTTGAATCTGTTTCTAGTGACAGAATACATGTTGTGACACTGAAGATTGATAATGCTCCCAGAGTGGCAGACTAACCTCCTTTTGGAGATGAAATCCTCATAAGAATGTTAACTCAACCCTTTCTCTTTGTGTAAACTTGAAAAAGTGCTGCCTAATTGCACTGGAAGGAGGGAAGGAGGAAGGAGATTCTCTTGTCACTGACACATCCATGCAAGTCATAAAGTTCCCTTTTTCTCCAGTACACAAACTGTTCACAGATTTCTGATGTATCTTCAAAGAGTCTAATTATGCATTAATTCAGTGTCGTAAAAGCATGCAAAGCAAAACACTGAGTGGACAATAGTATATTAATTTTGGAAAGAGTATCATTTTGCACAAGTGAGTCACTGCTTCAATATCAAATCTATACTGTCTAGTGAGGCATTAGCATACTTATATCCAATGTGTTTCTCATTAGGGTTGGGTGTTTGAAGTCAGTGGTAAAATGCCTGCTGATGTCTGTATTAAAAGGAAAGTGAAGGGAAGAGAAGTGGGATAATTAGATTTTGTCAGTACTTATGATTGCTGCTTTCAGCTTCTTAAAACCTTTTCAAAAATTTACTTTCCAGTTTTCTCTCCATCTCCAGCAGTAAATGACTAATCTTTAAATGCCATTCTTCCTCAAACAGGCCATGTTTTCATGTTGAAGTGCAACTGCAGTAAGGGGGAAAAGAAGTAACATTGCATTGTCATGACATTGGAGGCTACTGACTGTGAAACTCATACATAGGCCAACTCAGATTATAATAGCACAGGACTGTTTGTTATGTGCAGTGTCCCAGCTCCTCTAGGCTCAGTACCTGTACTTCATAATGGGAAAGATACTTTTCTTATTACTTTTACTATGTGAATGCCTAATGAGCAATCATTTTCTATTTTAATATTAACAATGAATGTTGACAAAATTCTGCATTCAAAACTCACACATAATAGTTCTGCATGACTAGCAACCGAATATATTTTTTAGAAATTCCTAATTATGCTTTTGAGCCGCTACATGAAAAAGATCATTAGGTTCAAAACTCACCTGATGGAATAAAGTACATTTCCATTTTTGAAAATCCGCAACAACTTATTATCTGTTGTAACTTCATGAAAGTTGGCACCTTTTTCATTAGCAAAGAACAAATCAGGTTTCCAAATTGAATCCAGCATGGATGGATCTAAATCTAAAGAGTCATCTGGATATTCACTGTATGCTAGACGTGGATCATTCCAGTTCTGACGGAGAAAGATGTTCACTCGGTAATCCTGAATAAAAGGGAAAACAAGCAAAGCTTTATCAAGCATAGGGATTTAGCTTTTATTTCATTTCTTAGCCATGTAATCCCCTGTCCATCTGTGGATGACAAAAGAATTACTTAGCTGAATGCCAGAATGATACCTATTTATATTACTGTGGGCACAATGGATAACAATAAAGATGCATTTCAGGGCAATCAAAAAAAATCCTAAGATAAGGAAATCCAACCTCTATGTGCAGTTCATATAATTCCATATAACTCAACCCCTATTACAAATTTCTCTTGAATTTGAAATGAGAAGCATAAAAAGAGTTTTATCATGTTACCTTTTTCTGCTCAAACCTGGGGTATTCCCACCTCCTTCTCCCTGTCACTGAGAACCTGTCTCAAGTTAAGGGAAGTTAAATTAATTTTTTTTCTCTCTCTCTAATCTTTACTTGTTTTAGACCCACCACATAGGCTTTCTGTGCCTCAGTTTCCCATTGAATATTGTGTGGCAGTAAGTCGTCATGCAGCAGTCTGAGGAGGACACATGTTCCTTCCTCCTCTCTTCAAACAGGGTAGAAACAATATAAGTCTTTATGATAAATTAGAATAGCTACAAGTGAAGTCACCTTAATTTCTGCAGAAAGTCCTGTCTTAATCAAGAGTTCTTTTATAGAAAAGATGAGTGAGTGCTTCAAACTTCTGGAAGTCATTTAGGAGCTGCACATACATTCTGTCAGAAATGTATTTATGGCTCCACACTTTCTTAAAACCTTACCACTCTGAAAACACTTGGTTTTGAATAAAGGTGAATAACAGCTTCTCGTTACATTGCATTTAGGACTGAGACTGAACATAAAGGCATAGGAGCTATACTTTTATTGGTCATAATAAGATTTTCCTCATTATTTGAACTGCATTAATGGGAAAGGTAAAAATAAAGTAGAGAAAGAGATAGGTTACCTGCAGGGGGAAAATGGCAATTGGTTGTCAGACCTTACATGACACTTCTGAGAATAACAAAAGTAAAAAATATCACTAGTTTATGGTTAAAAAAGATGGCGGAAATTTATTTTAACGAGAAAACTTTTTGAGTCAGAATGGGAAATGAAGTGTACAGGACTGAAAAATACAATTTAGCCAAAAACTATGGATACTGGTTATTATAGGTTAGACTAACTTGTTAAAACCCCATTGGTGTAGAAATTGTTGGTTAAAAATCCAGCATTTTATCGATATTGCTCTTAGGAAACTTGGAGCATGCAGCCATGTAGTGGGCAGAATTGTGCCAATAGACCTAATAAAGGCCAACAGAAACCTCAATATGCAACATTTACTCATGAGAAACAGTTTTTCATATCTTCAGCATCCTGCTGTTTTGGTCAATTTAATTACTCAGTTTGTCTAAGGGTAGCCAAATACACTAAAAATATGCTTACCAAGTCTTGCCAATTTAGAATATTGTAAATTGTACAGAGAAAGTCCTGATAAAGAATTTTATCTTCACATAACCTTTAAAATTTATAGGACAAAGAAAGCAAGTAGAAAACTACACCAGAAGAATGAAATTAATTCAAATTACTATTTCCAGCAGAGAGGAAACAAGCTCTCTGACCAAGTGGAAGCATGCAACATTAAATGCATAGGAATAGTTAACTGCTTTATTTAAAGAAATAAATTGTTAATTAATTTGTTAAACACACACATACAAACAGACCACAATCCCTTTCAGGAAAGGACTGAAAGATATTTTCTTTTTCATCATGGGTAGTGACAGCCTCAAGAGCCATAAAAAAATTCTTATGAGAACCTGTTGGTATTTTTTATAATTAGTACCACGATGTTATACAACCAGAGCCAGGTTTATAGATGCAGAAACAAGCCTGTATTTTCTGTATGTTTCTAAAGTAAGACAAAATTCTTAGACAAGCTTGTACCTCAGTGCTCAAAAAACTGTATTTTTGTGTCCTCTAGTAAGAGGGAATAAGAACCCCTGATATAGCATTATTTCTTTGCATGACATCCCAAATACCATGGAGCACAAGTTTCCATTCCAGATGGCTGTATAAAATCAAAAGGACAGGAAGAAGGAGGATAATGGCTCCACTGCCTTTCCCAGCATGGGCAACCCTTGAGCTGAAGGAAGCATTATCTCTAAACCTGGGGTACTGGCGTGGAGGACTGCAGCTCTCAGGACTTTGCACTTCACCCCAAGCTTTATATTTTAAATTCTATAACCTGAGGTATGTCTATTTACTTTACTTTTCTCAGTAGAACATGAAAAGTTTATGGACAGGATTAGTTGCAGAGTAAAGGTCTTCTCACATGTGTTATACAGAAAAGGTGAAAAATGCGTAGCAGGAAGGCCAAATGGAAAAGGAAAATGGAGAATGACAAATGATGGAATCCTTTCAAGATTATATTAAGTTATGCTGTATGTCAGTATGAGTAAAGTTTATTAGTTTAAATTGTTTCCAGGTTTTAAGATAAAAAAAAGTCCTGGTTAAACTTTTCACTGAAGCAACCTGAGTTATTTTTCATTGTTCTCTCCGTCTCTCCCCTGAAAACTGACTTAAATTGGCACTCGTTATTCCCAAAAAAGAAAAAAAATCCTAATCTATCAAAAGGAAAGAGATATATTTGACTGCTATTTTATGAAGGAAAAGTGTTCATCATATCAATTTATAATTACACATTATGAGCACAAGGCCTAAGTGCTTTAAACGAGTAGGATTTTTTGATGCAAACACAGACGCCTGAATCAAACTGCCTGAATTGATTTGTTATCCTACAAGAGGCTCCATATTGTCATGTGCTGTTTGCCTGAAAGAATGGCTCCTAATTCAAATAACTGTGACAGGAAGGTTCCTTGAGGGGAGGGAGCAATCATCATTGCAGTTGTGGTGACTTCCAGAGCCTCATCTGTAACCTCAAGGCTGCCATTGTCTGAACAGCTGCTGCACCCTGGTTCTCCAGAACGAGAGGGATGTGGGGCTGCACTTGCTTCACCACACTTCAAAACCTTAGCCACAAGGTGAACTTTCTTAGAGGGTCAGGATACTGTTCATCTGCTTCATAAGGCTCAATAAAATAAAAACTAGAGATCAAATAATTGCTCTTTTCTGACCATGCCAAGGCTCAGGCCATCATGGACCTCAGTACTAATATTTTGATTAATAATTTCCAGCACACAGTAAAATCTGAAACACTTACAGAGTGTTTTGATTTCTACTTCATTATACTTGTACAGATAGAGCTATATTACCATAACATACAGAATGTAGCTTTATGGAGATTTTTGCACAAATCTCACAATACTAATTTCCCAGTTCTCACTATTTCTTTAATGCATTTTTCATATGTACTGAATGTGGAATCCTTCCAGATCTGAGAGATTCCAAAATATGCCCCTCATTTGAACATTGAATATCACCTGCTCTCATAATTTTTTGTGCTGTTATTTGAACCAAGTCTTCAGAATTTCATGCATAAATTACAGAACTCTCTCTGTTGCCATTCCAAATATTATGATAATTTTGCCTAATATATACTTCTAAGTGAAATCTAGTCTTGTCTTTTGTATAATGTAGTCAAATTATTCTTCCTTCACTTGTTTTAACTCACTGTAAAATTTTAACGTGGAAATCTTACAGACTTTGAAAGAAGACTGTTAAAAATGAACATAAGACACTATAATAAATATTGTTCTTGTGGAAATTTTTTTCTTCATGCATTAACTATGACACTCTTATTGAAAGCTCATTTTTACTGCCGTATAAGAAAAGCTTATATGTTACAGAACACGTTGATAGTTTTAATTTATAATGCTGAGATTTTCAAAAGTTACTGTCTTGGTGTCTGAAAAACATGCAACTTGACATGCTTTTTATTGCTGCCTCGACTGGTATAATTAGACAGGATGGCCTGTGGCATAATAGTACTTTTAGTAATAACATCTTTCCATGTTAAATTTATTCACTGTTCTTAAGCACTGTGGCTGCACTTTGGGTAATTACTTTGTCCAAATTGATGGAATTTTCTAGTTTTCCTTTCTATAGCTGAAAATTTCAGACTGGACCAAAAGTTTTTCAGATAAAAATTTCAATATGCCTTTGACAAAACTTTTCTAGTTTTGAAACTAGAAACAGAAATTGAAACTCAATTATTAAAACTGAAGTTAGCCACTCAAATTGTCAAGTCATTTTCCATGCAGGTTACCAATGCCATTGCCATATCAAAGTAGGAGAAGAACCTTGAAATTCACCCTCACGTTCAAGAAATGCAAATATAATTTTTGTATTCTGAAGGATTGATTTGTACTTCCTCATGCTTAATAGTTGGAGTTCCATCGTTACTGAGATTACTTATGGTGCAGGCTTAATTGTTCAAAAGAATATGTAAAAGAAAGTGCAGGGAAGGATGATACAGGACTGGACAGGGTTGTCAGTTCTGTGAGTGTAGACATGAAAAGTTTCATGTATTTGTTTAAATTGATAATGCAAAGGACTTGTGTTATGACTTAATTTATTTCTTGATTGCTCCCTGTAAGTATATCAAAGGGGAGGAAGAAAGCATTTTAAATCTAAAGACAAGAATATCCTTCCTTAACTTTCAATACATTTAGACTGAACTGAAATGGTTCATCTCTTTTTCTCCTGCTAAAAAACACTGGTGATATTTTCATTGGTCTTACTTATTATAGCAAATAAGGGGGTTATTTATTTTTTATTACATCTTTGCACTATTACTGGAGTACTGTTTAAAGTTCCTGTGTTGCCAGCATAAGAAGTGAACTGTTTGCGCAAGTTCAGAGGAGAGACAGAAAGTTGATAAGAGGACAGGAAAACATTCTGCTATAAAGGCAGGGTGAGAAAGTTGGGACCACTCAGCCTGGAGAAGTTTGAGTGAACAAATTTTTTACTGTGAGAGTGATGAGGCACTGGAACAAGGAGGTTCTGGGTGCTGCAATCCTGGCAGCATTCAAGGGCAGGTTGGATAAGGTCTTGAACAACCTGGTCTAGT